GGCCTTGGGGCTTCTCCTGGACTGTCTGGAAGCCCTCTTGGTTAAGTTTGGGGCGATTTTCTGGCCTCCTGGGCGGTCTCGGACGCCCAGAAAAACGAAGAACCGAGCATTCCCAACATCATACAAAAACCATCGGAATCAGTGTGTTTCGCGTTTCGAATGCCTTCTGGGGATCTTCTTTGGGTCGTCTTCGGGCGTCCTGGTGGGTGTCTGGGGCCCCTGTGGGCTCTCGTGGGGCCGTCCTGCCGCCTTCCCGACCGATTTGGCTCCGTTGCCTAGGCCCTACAGGGACTTGAGGAGGAGGAGGAGGAGGAGGAGGAGGAGGAGGAGGAGGAGGAGGAGGAGGAGGAGGACGAGGAGGACGAGGAGCACTCCTCCCCCTTCGTGGCCGAGTTCCCTCGGAGGAGTCCCAGGAGACACAGGGGACCGTCGGCAGGGGCCTTCAGGGTGCCCCCGGGGCCCAGGATTCGGAGGTGTCCCGTTTCGGGGGGGATGGGTTTTCGCAGGGTCCCAGATTTGTAACAATATAGAACAGGGAATCTATGCCACATGTATCTCTCCAGGGACTTGAGGAGCCCCAGGAGGCACAGGGGGGCCGTCGGCAGGGGCCTTCGGGGTGCCCCCGGGGCCAAGGATTCGGAGGTGTCCCGTTTCGGGGGGGTCCACCAAGCCCGCCCGCCAGAGCCTCGAACCTCGGGGGTGGGGGGGGGCCCGAACGCCCGAAGACCTCCTCCCTCCTCCCTCCCTCCTCCCTCCTCCCTCCTCCTCCTCCTCCGAAGACCTCGAACCTCGGGAGGCGAGGGGGGGGTCCCAGATTTTAACAATATAGAAAAGGGAATCTATGCTACACATATCTCTTCATGCATTTTTGCAAGCCGCGGGGGGCGGAGAACACCGTGCCCCCCCCAAAAAAAAAACAGATCCCCGGGATCGGGGGTTTTGGTGCCCCCCGTACGCCTTTAAAAAGAGGTCCCCCAGCCCCTGCTGCGCCTCCCAGGGCGCCTTGCCGGGCCTTGCATACCCAGAGCAATCAGAAAGTTGTCGAAAAGGCGCAGGGCAGCCCCCTGGGACAGTGCAGGACGGCCTCAAGACGACCCACGAGGCCCCCAAGACGGCCCAAGAGGCCCCCAAGACGCTTAAAGAGGCCTTCAGGAGGGCTCCCAAGCTGCAACCATCTTTTCACACCCTTGAGAAATAGTGCATTTTCAGCATATTCGCTTTTTTGCCGTAGCAGCGTTCACGACGGCCCAAGAGGCCTCCGAGATCGCCCAAGCAAGAAGCCCAAAATGCCGTTTCAATATAGCCCAAGAGGGCTCCAAGACTGCTCCAAGACTGCCCCAAGACGGCCCCAAAGAAGCTCAAGAGGCCCCAAAGGTTCCCAAGAGGCCCGCGAAGGCCATGGGAGGTCCCCAGGAGGGCCTAAGATGGCCCCAATAATGCCCGTAACTAGAGGACCCAATTTTCCCCAACAAGGCCACAGCACGGCCCAAGAGGGACCAGACCTAAGTCGGCCGAAACGTGCTTCAAAAGGATTGCCAAGACGGCCCAGAAAGGCGCCCAGGAGGCCTCCAGAGGTCCCCACAGCCGTTGAGAGGGATTCGTGAGGCTCCCAAGAGGTTCTCCAACGAGGAGCCTCCGCAAAACAAGCTGCGGCAGACGGGAAACAGTTCGCAAGGCCAGGCGAGAGCGAGGCAATAGCTACCACCACATAGCTAACACCGAAGAGCTTTCACAGCATAGCTCACACCACATGGTTGCCACAACCTAGTTCACATCTTATAGTTTAAGCCGCAGAACTTCCACCGCTGGAGTTCAACACCTCATTCTTCGTGGTCTACGATGGCTCATATATTTGTTGGTTTCATGCCGTTGGGAGCCGCTGGAAACCGCCACGTTTCTTGAAGCTTTTGCAATCTTCGGAGGTTTTGGTTCGACAACGGCCTCCAGGAGCCGCTGTCACCCCGAGGGCCTGAAAAACATCCCCGAGTAGAGAAAACGTCCCCGAGGAAACAACTTTCCCTCAATCACGGTAGGTTGACGTCGTGTCGGCGCGGCGTCGACATCGGCGCGGGCGTTCGGAATGAACGCGGCCAGTGGTCAGGAATCGGCCGGTGTTGAGCGGGAATGTGCGATCGTTCATGGCTGGACGATCCAAGCGGTGCCAAACAATCAACGCGCAGGCCGTGACGACTCCTGCGGACAAGACCATCTTGCTTGCTGCTCGTGGTATGCATGCTGTGCCAGTGGAGTTCTTTAGGGCCGCAGGGGTAGCGGCTCCGTCTTCGTCCCAGGGGGGGATCAACGATCGAGTGAAAAACAAAAAAAACTGCGGACGCAGGGTCCAACGAAGAGGGCACGCGATTTCCGTCAACATTTCTTCGGAGTCGCCGGGTGGCGTTCTCGTCGCCACGTCGTCGGGCCCGCCTCGAAGTTTGAACGCAACGCACCCCACGAGAAATCTGGGTGGCGCACGAGCATGTACATCGAGGGCGAGAGCAAATAAGGAACGCGTAAGGGGACTGGGCAAGAAACGGCCGAATTTCGAGGCCGAAGAGGATGACGCCAGCCTCTCGAGGGCCCTTTGGGGCTTCTCGGGGGCATCTTTGGCCGTCTTGGGCCATCTTTGAGCCATCTTGGGCCGTCTCGGTGGCCTCCTGGCCCTCATGGGGGCCTCTCTGGGCCGACTTGGGACCTTCTTGGGGTGCTCCAGGGCCGTCTTGGAGGTCATCTTGGGCGTTTTGGGGGCCTCTCGGGCCGTCTTGGGGCCCTGTTGGGGCCGTCTTGGGGGCCTCGGTGGGCCGTTCTGGCGCTATCTTGGATGCCTCTTGGGCGATCTTGGGGCGATCTTTGAGGGCTCTTGGGCCGTCTCGGACCGTCGGAAGACCGACAAGACGCAAATGCCGAAGTCCTTCAAACGCTGGTTGAAACACGTATATTTTGGCCTCTTCGGGCCTTTTTAGAAGCCCTCTTGGGCCGTCTTGAAGACCTCTTGGGGACCTCTTGGGAGCCTCTTGGGCCATCTTTGAGCCATCTTTGAGCCATCTTGGGCCGTCTTGGTGGCCTCCTGGTCAGTCTGACGCTGCCGGACGCCATCTTGGGGGCCTCTCTGGGCCGACTTGCGACCTTCTTGGGGTGCTCCAGGGCTGTCTTGGAGGCCATCTTGGGCCATTCCCTGATGAATATGTGTATTTATTTAGCATATTTGCTTCTTCGGTCTTCACAGCGTCCAAGACGGCCCAAATGGCCCCGAAGACAGCCCCAAGACGGCCCAAGAGGCCCCCAAGACGGCCCCAAGACGTCCCAAGTGGGCTCCAAGACTGCCCAATAGGGGCTCCTGAGGGTTCCAAAGGTTCCCAAGAGAGCCCCAAGAGGGCCGCAGGAGGTCCCAACCCGCTTTGAAGGGAACTTCCTGGGGGGGAAACCCACCAACCCGCCCTATCCCCCACAGAAACCACCCTTGAGGGGGGGTTCTTGGGGGAAAAACCAACCAACATCCTTCAACCCCCCAGGAGCTTCCCTTGAGGGGGGGGTCCTGGGGGGACCGCTCCCCCCGAATCCCTTCAAAAACTACCCGTGGGGGGGGTGGGGGGGGCTCATGGGGGGACAGCCCAGCTCCCCCGCCCGTGCCCCCTCCAAGAACCCCCCCCGAGGGGGGGTTCTGGAGGGACCCCCCCCTGTACCCCTCCCAGAAACCCCCTTGAGGGCAGGGTGGTCCTTGGGGTTTGTCCACGGGGGGGTCTGGGAACTGCAACGGCCTGCTGCCCGCCGGTGTCCAAGGTATGGGAGCGTGACGAGCCACGGCGCGGCACGGCCTTGCACGCCCAGCGGATAATAAGAATAAGGATTAAACTTAGTAATGAAGAGTGGCAATGATGAGACGAATCTAGAGAGGACTCGTAGCAAGAGGAACAGCAGGAGACACGCAAAACGCAACCAGCATAGACACAAACTTTCGGAGGTCCGCGCGGATTTCGTGGATCGGCGCTGGGCGCCGCTCCGCGCGCCAGAGAGGGAGGGTGCCATGCCGATCTACGAAATCCGTGCGGAGCTCTGAGAGCTTATATGTTGATGCAGTGCTTCTTTTCTTACGAGACGAGACCGGAAAGGCACGGCACGGCAGGCAGAAACATGCGACTCGAGAGCAAGGTTCGTCAATGGCATGGCGCGACACGAAATGGCACGTCACTCCAGCGAAGTCATAACATGGTAGCGCGACACGACGGTGCATGTCATGACACACTATGTCACGGCATCCCAGACGGAAGTACGACTATTGAGCACGACGCGAGGCGGCATGGCGCCCCCGACGGCACCACGAGCTGGCGGCACTACGCAATGCGGGCACGGATCGGCACGCCATAGCACGGCGCGCCAATTGAAGTTTCATTTCTGGGGTCACGACACGAAGCTGCACGGCGTGACATGCAATGCACGGCACAGCACGCCACGACATCACGCCTTCACGGCACGACGGAACGACGAGCAGGGAGCACGACGAGGCACGGCACGGCCCAGCACGACCCTACGCGGCATTGCATGCCCGGCAAGATTACGCTACGATTGCGTCCTTTACGAGCTATAGGGTGAACATCCTGTCCAGTATTCTCAGTCTATGACCCCTTTGGTCCGTCCTCCGTCTTCCCTTCTCAGTCGCGGATCGTGCGTATCTTCCATGCGCGAATTTTCGCTGGTTTGTGTCGCCCACTCGTTTGTCGTATTGCGCATTCTCCAGCCAAACAGGGTCTCTTTTCGTAGAACGTCTGATGTTGCGGCCCAGTTTTTTTGGGCAGGATTGGAGTTTATGACTATTCGAGAATCGAGCGGGATGCTGATTGGCAAACGCAGCGCCCGTGGCGAGGGACGACAACGGTATGGAGATGCCAGTACTGCGGCGCAGCGTTCGGTACCTACGAGATGGCGGATCGGCATGAACAGACAGTGTGTCCGCTGGCGAGTATTCAAACTTCCAGCTCATCTATCATTGCTGCGAGTTTTGTCTGCCTGCAGGCAGATTATTCACTAGAGGAGGAAAAGGGAACGAGGGGATGGGAGGCCGAGGGGAAGCGGGAAGAGGCGGCGGTGGAAGAGCAGTTGCAGCAGCGGCCGAAGCTTCGCCTGCAAGATGGGCAGGGGGAGAGAAGGAGGGAGGGAGGAATCGAGGATGAATCTGAATCTGAAGATAAAGATGGAGTTAAAGACAACGACCACCATGACGACGGCGACGACGATGAAGATGAGCATGATGATGCTGCTGCTGCTGCTGATGATGATCTGGTGATACAGGTGATGCCGTTGTTGTTGATGATCAATCTTAGGGCGACGATGGCGGTGATGGCGATGATGGTTATGTCGATGACGATTCCGATGATGATTCAGATGAGGTCGATTATGTTTATGAGTATTTTAACATTGTCCATGCTTAGGTCGAGGACTCGGATGATGACTGCGAGGATGATGGTGGTGATATGCTTGTCAAGTGGGTTTCATAAGAATGATCACGGTAGTGGTGGTTGTGGTTGTAATGGTAGCCTTTCACGATGTACAACAGCAGTCAAAGCATCAGCGCACATATGATTGATAGGAAGGGTGTGGTAACTGATAGTATCAGTAGTCGTAAGAATGCAGTGGTTCATGATGGTGCAGGTGAGGATGATGACCAGGTGGAAATATGATTTGATGATTGGGAGGAGGGAGGAGGAGGTCGAAGGGGGAGCAGAGGCAGGAGGTCTCCCCGGACCCCCAGAGGCCCCCAGCTCACCCCTCGCCCTCCAACAAACGTCCTCTTCGCTTCCTCCTCCCCTCTTCCTTCCTCCCCTCCTGCTTTCCCTGCTTCCTCCTCCCAAGACAGGCCCCCCGAGTACCAATGTGGCTCTAGCGTGTCTCACGGCACTGGTGGATTACGAGACCCTGAAGAGCAACGCGGCCCATGCAGGGCCCCTTGCTCAGCTCAAGTCGCTCCTGGAGTTTCTGACCGCCCAGCCTTTCGAGGTAGCATGCAAGTTCTTGAAGTATTGGCGGGCCAAGTCGGCCTTCACGAAGGAGGGAGAGCCCGAGCTAGTGCGCCCCGCGTTCTTCATCAACACGTCAGTGGTGACGAAACTAGGTATCATCGTTCCTCTGAGTGTAGTGATCTCCAGCCTGCTCATAGGTCTCGGGAGTACGCTAAAAATACGGAGGCCCCCCGGAATCCACGGGTTCAGAACTCCCTGGAGAAATTGGTCAAGGGGTCGCGCCATCGCAAGTCCTGAGTAGTGATTCCCCCCGTGAGTGGATCCTCCTCGTCCCCCTCCTCCGTCCCCCTTCCTCCGACCCTCCCGCCCGCCCTCCGCTCTCCGACCTCAGGATCCATTCTTGAGTGGGGTGGGGTTCGATGTCAAGGAGAGTGGAACCCCCCTCCCCCGCCGCGTGCCAAAAAACCGTTGGAAAAGGGCGAGGGCGAGGACGTGGAAGATAACTCTCCCCTGTCTGCTAGATTGTCGGTAATCGTGCTTGCAGGTTCCTGTGTATGCGTGGTTGTTTTTAATCATGTATACACTTTCGACCCCCACTGTTGAGAAGAACCCTGTGCTTCGATCGAGGTGTTCCCAGTCGATCGATGGGAGGGGACCTCCGTTCAGTTTGTCACCGATATGGGCATAGTGCTCATCATGTGCCCTGCGTCCGGTTGTTGCTGAGGAGCTGAAGGCTTGGACACATGCAGATCCACCGCCGCCGCCTCCTCCTGCTCCTCCTCCCTCCCTCCCTCCCTCCCTCCTCCTCCTCCTCCTCCTCCTCCTCCTCCTCCTCCTCCGCCTCCTCCTCCTGCTCCTCCTCCCAGAGCAGGCCAGGCACGCGTCCGCGTGCACTGCATACCTATCCGACTTCGATCGTACTCAGGTTGCAGTTCCGTGCATTGGCGGACTGCCCTCGCACGTTCAGGACATGCAGCACTCGAAGCCCTCTGCGTTCCCATATGAGACGTTTCTGGAAGGGCCATCGCCCTCGGTGCCTCCTCACCCTCGGCGGAAGCTGGCGGAATGCCTACGGAGCGCGGCGGAAGTAAGACGGCGGCGTTCCTTCTGCCGTGAGCTCGGCGAACGGCGGCGGAAGTTTCAGTAAAACGTCAAGATTTTTCGAGCCAGGGTTTCCAGAGTCGCCCATCTGCTGCGTTGTCCTGGCTCAAGAGACGGGGGTCAGTGCAAACGGGGGTCAGTCGGAGCTGTATCCTGTAGGATCCTGTAGGGCCAGGGGTGCACTGACCCGGGCTTGGATGCAGGATCCTGCAGGATCCTGCAGGATTTTGCAGGATCCTGCAAGGCCTGACTGACCCGTGTTTGCATTGACCCAGGCCAGTAGATCCCCGACATTGCCGTTCATCCTTTTCGAGGAGGACGAGGATGATCTTCAGGGGCAACGTTAGGGGGGATTGGCTGAGACATGCGTCGACCCCCGATCGGCCATTCAGCGCCTATAGGGGCCTGGTTGCCCACCCAGGAACGTGCGGTTTCGCCACGGGGGCTCATCGCCGATCGATCGGCGATGCGTCGCCGTTTCCAGGTCGATGTTCCCCCCCCTCAGCATCTTCCTTCCGAACCATTCACCCTCATACCATGGCGACGCGCTGAGGATAAGGAGGAGGCGGAGGAGGAGGAGGAGGAGGCGGAGGAGCGAGGAAAAAGGAGGATAAGGAGGAGGAGGAGGAGGGCGGAAACGAGCAGAAGGGAGGATGAACAACAAGAGTAACAGATGAGGGCGGAGGGGGTAGGAGAGGAGGTGGAGGAAGAGGAGGGAAGGCGGTCGAGCCTTACCTCCCTCTCTCTCTCTCTCCTTTCTCCTCGCCGTTCGTGCTCTTGCTTCTTCCCTCCTCACTTCTCCCTTGTCCTGTTTCATCCTCCATCCTCCTCCATTCTGGTATTCCCTCCTAATTTCTCCTCCTTTCTTCTGCTCCTTTCTCCTCCATGCCTGGGAAGAGAAGGCGAAACTGAGTAGGGATGGAGGCAGGAATAAGGGATGAGAACGGAAGGGTGAGACACATCCCCTCCGTTTTGTCTGAATTCTTCTTTATCCTCTTCTCCTTCCTCTTTGTTCCGTTCGTCCTCCTTTCCTCCTTCCCCCCTTCCGAGAGGGGGTTGGTGCATGGGGAACCCTCGCAGGAGAGAAGGTCCATGGTTTTGGAGAGGAGGTTGAGAAGGAGGATGGACGATTAGGGGGATGAAGCGAGGACCAGAGATGGAGGCGTGACACTTCTGGGCAGGTGAAGGGAGCAGATAGGGAAGGAAAGGAGGGAGGAAGGGATAGGGAGAAGGATGCGCTTGGCTAGGGGGCTGGCTGGATTCAGCTGCAGAGACAGTCAGAGAGGCCGTGCATGTGCCTCGGTGCCGCATTCAGTTGTGGAGGGGGAGAACGAGGAGGGTGATGCGGAGGATTTAGCTCCCACTGATGATGATGATGATGATGATGATGATGATGATGATGCTAATGCTGATGCTGATGATGATGGTGATGATGATGATGGAGGTGGCGATGGTGATGATGGTGATGCTGATGATTATGATGATGATGCCGATGATGATGAGGATGACGACGATGATGGTGGTGGTGGTGATGATGATGCTGATGATTAGGACGTGGATGAGGATGCTGATGCCCATGCTGATGGGGATGATGCTGATACTGCTGCTGCTGATGATGACTATTATGATGTTGATGGTGGTGATGATGGTAATCATTAGGATGCTGCTGTTGCTCCTGATGATGATCATGGTGACGTTGCTGAGGACGACGAGGCTGACGACGAAGATGATGCTGATGATGATGCTGATGCTGCTGCTGATGATGACTATGATGCTGATGCTGCTGATGATGATTATGATGCTGATGCTGATGGTGATGCTGATGCTATGATAATGTTGATGATGATTAAGTTGGTGGTGATGATGATGATTATGATGATGGTGATGCTGATGATGCTGATGATGACGGTGCTGCTTACGATGATGATGCTGATAATGTTTATGATTATGCTGATGCTGCTGATGATGATGCTGCTGCTGCTGATGATGATGATGATGATGATGATGATGATGATGGTGAAGGCTATGGTGATGCTGCTGTTGTTGTTGTTGTTGTCGTCGTCGTCGTCGTCGTCGTTGTTGTTGTGGTTGTTGTTGCTGTTGTTGTTGTTGTTGTTGTTGTTGTTGCTTTTGTTGTTGTTATTGTTGTTGTTGTCGTTGTCGTTGTTGTTGTTGTTGTTGTTGTTGTTGTTGTTGTTGTTGTTGTTGTTGTGGTTGTTGTGGTTGTTGAGTGCTAAGAACTTACCAATTATTATAGCTGGATCCCCTCAGACGCTTTGACGCTCTCGTCTCGGCACCGCCTACATCGAGCGGTTTGGGGGGGGCGCCAAAACTGCCCCCCCAGAACAACAACAACAACAACACCAACAACAACGCTCCCGCCCGAGACTTCCTCCTGTTTTACTCAGGGCTGGTGCTCTTGCTCGCCGCCGAAAGCCGCCGTCCAAACAAAACCAGCGCTACCGCTCGAGACTTCCTCCCTTTTTACCTTGGACTGGCGCGCTACTCTTTCTCTCATCGGCGCCGCCCCCGGCAACAACAACGCCCCCGCTCGAGACTTCCTTTCTTTTTTACTCAAGGCGGTGCTCCTCCTCGCCGCCGAAAACCGCCGTCCCGACAAAACCAGCGCTCCCGCCCGAGACTTTCTTCCGTTTCATGCTGGATACTTTTTTTTGAATTGGCGCCGCTCCCAGCAAGAACAACGGTCCCTCTCGCGGCTTCCTCCCTTTTCCCTCAGGACGGTGCTGTTCCTCGCCGCCGACAGCCCCCGTCCCGGCAAAACCACGGCTCCCGCTCGAGGCTTCCCCCCTTCTTATTCAAGGCGGTGTTCCTCCTCGCCGCCGACAACCGCTGTCCCAACAAAACCAGCGTTCCCGCTCGAGAGTTCGTT